ATCTAAGGGGCTAGCCCACCGAAGGGCCTCCAGGTTCCGCGCCCCACATTCCCAACCATCGATCAGATCCTTTACTCTCGGCTTGACTTCTACGGCGGGACCACAGTACCCGGGTTGGGGACGGTGTGTACACCCACCTGCCGACAGGCCGCCGCTCAGCACAGACGGGGGCTGCACGCTGCACACTGTCTTAACCACACTGGTCATCGTAAGGAGGCGGCACGGCTGGGCCCTGGAAGGTGCAAGGTGAATGTTTTGCAGCGCCGGGCCCCAGCCCGAGCAGGTGGAGGGCAGGGGGAAAGCTTGACCCCGCCAGCCCAGGCTCGGGATCTGGGAAGAAGCGCCTCCACCCGGCGCCACCCCATCCGCCCCCACACCCAGCCCAGTCCCTCGCCCCGGGAGAGACGAACTCAGACGCTAGCCGCTCCCGCTCGCAGTCCTTGTCGCTGTTGTTCAGAAGAGGCTCAGCAGCAACGGCCAAGCAGCCGGCCGGGTCTGCCGCCTCGGTTTCAAATGGAAACTTCCGGGAGCTGGGCGGGCGGGATTGCAAGTCGCTTTCCGTAGGCGGCCCTGATGTGCGGAAGAGTCTGTCCCGCGCCGCGACTTTGGGAGCCGCCATGCTGTACGGAAGGTTCGAGCACAGGTGTGGGAGCCCCGGATCTAGGAGGGGAAGGGGGCGCACTTGGCAGGCCTGAATGGAGCTAATGAACTACGGTGTCATTCCGGGCAGGAGGCGAAAACGTGACTACGTTTAATGTCCAAGTCACAAAACTGTTTATTTGGTCTGTGGACGTTAGGGTTACTGCTAAGAGCATAGGTTATTGGGATGAAAACTGAAGGCTCAGTGGGCTGCAATACCTAAAGCACCTATTTGGACTCCTAAATGTAATAACATCCTTATTTAAATGGAGATTGAAAACCACTCCTATTAAACAGGGTAGAGTTCTCTGACGTACATTCATTTTATTCGACGAATGTTCACTGAGCATCAGGACTGAGCTTGACTTTGCCCTTCTGGAGTTTAATTGTGATTAAACTATGAAAGAAAAGTATAAAATTTTATGAGAGAAAAGCAGGGAAGCTTAGTTCAAATTTGGGGATCAGGGAAGATTCAGGTGGTGTTTGACTCAGGAAGAATGAGAGGGAGTTAATTACATGAACATGGGGGAATGGGAAGAAAAGCTAATGAAGTTTTTTTTTTTTTGTACTAGGGATTGAACTCAGGAACACTCAACCACTGATCCACATCCCCAGCCCTATTTTGTGTTTTATTTAGGATCTCACTGAGTTGCTTAATGCCACTTTTGCTGAGGCTGGCTTTGAACTCACAATCCTCCTGCTTAAGCCTCCCCAGCCGCTGGGATTACAGGTGTGCGTCACTGTGCCTAGCTGAAGCTTACTCTTATTTAATATCAAATTATATTTTTAAAAACTTACTCTGGGGCTGGGATCCTGGCTCAGCGGTAGAGCGCTCGCCTAGCATGTGTGAGACCCTGGGTTGATCCTCATCACCACATATAAATAAATAGATAGATAGATAGATAGATAAATAAATAAATAAAGTCCAACTACAACTAAAAAATAAATATTAAAAAATATATTCTAAAAACAAAGCTTACTCTGGCTTTTAATGGAATTCATTCTGGAGAATGGACTAAAGATAGTTGGGAGGTTGGGAGGATATTGCTGTGTTCAAGTTAGAGATGATGGCCCCTGGGCCATGGTGGTGGAGATGGAGCAGATACATGTGCAGCAATTTTGGGAGGCAGAGTCTCAGGCTAGATGGGATTTAGGGAAGGGAGGGAGAAAAGAGGAAGATGTTGAGGATAACTCCTAGGCTTCAATAATTAATTGTGTGGATAGAGTCACTATTTTGTGGAGGCATGTGGGAAGGATTTGAGAGTTTAGTTTTGAACATGGAAAACCCTAAATACCTTTGAGACATTTCACTAGAGTGTTCAGATAGGCAGCTGGAAATACAAGCTTTGAGCCCAGAGGAGATTCTGGGTTGTAGATATACAGTAAGCCCTTCATCCTTGAATTCCATATATATACATTATTTGGAGAAAGAAATTTCATCTGTACTGCATATGTGTATACACACACACACACATATATATATATATATATATATGCTTTTTTCCTTGTCATTTTCCCCTGTTCCCTAAACAATATAACCTAAGAGTGATTTAATAGCATTTACATTGTATTAGATATTATAAGTAATCTAGAGATAATGTAATGCGTATGGGAGGATTGTGTAGGTTATATGTAAGTACTAAGCCATTTTTAATAAAGGACTTGAGCATCTTTGGATTTTAGTAACCTGGGGTTCCTGGAACCCAAAACCCTTGGGATACCAAGGAATGACTGTACTTTTGGGAATTATTAGTATATGGATGTATTTAAAGCCACTTTTTTCTTTCCTGTTTTTTTGATGTACGTGTGTGTGTGCGCGTAGAAATTGAACCCAGGGCTTCATACATGCTATATGTGTGCTGTAACACTGAGCTACACCCCCAGCCCAAGGCAGAACTTCTGCTCATGTGTTTGTGCTTATGAAGATGGATCATCATCTCTTTCCTGTGCCCTATTATCCCAGATAAGATCAGGGATGTCCTGGTCTGGCTGTGTGATAACAGAGAGACCCAGTCCATGGTGCAGAGAAGCTAGAAAGAACCCTGATGAGCAGATGTAGGGTAGAGAGGCTGAATGCTACTTGGACATATAGAGAGAAGTCCCTTAGATGGACAGATCCAAATTAAGTGCTAGTCATTGCCCCCTCTTCCTATGGCAGGAGTTACTTTCTTTTTCTTCTTCATCCTTGTCTTCTTTTTTTTAGACAGGGTCTTGCTATGTTGCCCAGGCTGGCCTTGAATTGGGCTCAGGTGATCTTCATGTCTCAGCTTCTGAGTAGCTGGAACAGATGTGCCACTGTTCCTTGTCAGGAGTCATCTTGATTTATTTATTTTGCAAAAAGACAACTTATGTGGTCAGCCCTCCATATTTGTGGGTTCTGCATTTGTGCATTCAATCAACCACAGACTGAAAATATTCCGCATGAAAAAAAATCACATCAGAACTGAACACATACAGACTTTTCTCTTTTTTTCAACACAGTGTAACAACGACTTACACAGCATATACATTGTATTAGATATTATAAGTAATCTAGAGACAATTTAAAGTATATGAGAGGATATACGCAGATTATATGCAGATACTACACCATTACATAAGGGACTTGAGCATCCTTGGATTTTGGTATTCTCCATGGATACTGAGGGTGGGTACTAAGGGACAACTGTACTGTCTTCTCTGTCTTCCATAACTCTTACATCTCATTTGAATTTCTGCTCCACTTGTCATGAGCTATTTGGGATGGGAGGTAGGTCTTAATAACTAACACAAGAACACAACAAAATTAAACAAAACACCCTCTGATTTGCCTTCAGTTCTGTCACAGATTGTCTGTTTGGATGTGGAAAAATCCCTTCGTATTTCTGATACTCATTTGTAAAACGGCCTAGTTCTTTGTAATATCATATACAAAACAAGTGTTCCATAAACATGCTGATGTCCCCTAGTGTTATGAGTTCTTACAGGGAATGAAACCTCAGGACAGACTCTGCTTTGGGTAGGGAGAGCCAGGATTTGGTCTGCCCTAGACTCATTCTTAAGAAGCATGGGACCTGACCTGGGGAGCACCTTCAGATTCACCCTTCCCCTCCAAAAAAAAAAAAAAAAAAAAAAGGGCAAGTCTGAATTCCTGGATTAACTGGATTCTCAACTTCATCTACCTTCAGTACCTTTCCTGGCGAGGCCACTCTGCACACTATGACCATGGAAGAGACATGCCTCCGGAGCCTCAGAATCAGATCAGTCATGATGCCACAAGCCTGAAAGACATCTCAGAGGATTTCAGAGGGAAGCACAAAGGAGACAAGGAGGAACCCTAGGATCTGTTCAGAGTACAGCTTTCTCTGCAGATGGAGGCTCAAAGGGGAGGCAGGGTTTCCACAAAGACATCTAAGAAGGCAGGTTGGAGGAATGTGCTAGAAGCGAAGGATCAAGACAGCCAAGGGGCCAATGTCTCTGAAGCAGGTAGCTGGATGGAGACTTGGAGTTATGTAGAATGAGTCAGGATACTGCTCTGCCATTGACAGTGACATGACCAACCTTACTTAGTCTCAATGTCTTTACCTGCAAATTAGGGGTAAGACCCTAATCAACTGCAGATCATGCTGTGGTAAAGTAGTGAGAGTCCAAGGAGACTAACAGGTGTGGAAATGGAAAGGATTATTATTGTTTTTTTTTTTTAAAATAGGGGAGAGCACTGGAGCCTGCTTCCAAAGAGGGAGTCTTACAATTTGATAATGCTCCAAGACTGATCATCCCACCTTCTCCTGCTTCACTCCCAACAGCCATCTCTGCCCAACTTTGGAGAACTTTCTGGTTAAACTGTGAATGTGAGCAGAGCAAGGTAGTTTAGGATAGAGGCCTCAGCCTAATTCTGGCCCAGAGAAGCTCCCCCCAAAGTGAGAAGTGTCCTGATGAAGAGTCAATGAGAGGGGTGAAACCTAGGAGGTTATGGAGGTTCCCAAGGGCTCTTCTGGTCAGTTAGGTACCCCAAAAGGATCCCAAAGACAAGGTACCATAGTGTCACTGTTGGGAGGGGGGTCAGGTCAGCCTCCCCTGATACTCAGAACTGCACACTTGGCCTCTCCCCTTTCCAGAGGAGGAGGTCATTGTTGGCACTGTGGGAGCAGATGAGCCCTCAGCAGGTGACAAGGAGAGCCTGTATTCCCTTCCAAAGGCACTCCCTGTTGAATCCTCCAGATATAGGGGGCAAGTCACAGACAGATCAAGGCTGAAATATCTGGCAGGGTTTAAAATCCATGTTGATTTGGAGAATACTTTCACGTTGCAGCCTGGTGCTGCCCCTGCCTTATTTTTACTGACAAGGTTCTGCACTCAGGTCTGGCTTCCTTTGGTCTTCCTTAGCTGCTGTAGCCTGAAGTGTGGGTACTGGGCCTGCGGAGCCAAACATCTGGCAGATCTGGCTGGCTGTTGGGCAGCATCACAGGGCTGCCATCCCCTGGCCCACCGCGGCCCTTCCAGGAGGAGCTGCTCTGGTAGGAGTTGGGCAGTGATGGGTCATACACCGTCTCCTTCAGTGCCAGCCACAGAGTGTCACGCTTCCCATTCAGCTGGCCCCGCTCAAGTATTGGCTGGTCAATGTCATCTAGGTCTTCTGGAGAGATACCCATGGAATCTGGTACACGGGCACTGGGCTCAGAGGTGCTTAGGCAGGTGTCATCTGAGACGCTTAGCCCCTCTAGGGTGCTGGTTGAGGAGCAAAAGCCATCAGGAAGATCTTCAGCCTTGAGCCTTGGGGAGTGAGCCGGGGTTTCCAGTGAGGCCTGCAGGGGCTCAACCTTCTGCCCTTGGGAATCCTGCCTGGCCCCAATTTTGGGGCTGGAGCCAGCTTGTTTATAGGGGGAGGAGGTCTGCAGGGCTGGGCACTGACTGAAGACTGCCTGGTGGTCCAGCAGCAGATCCCTCGGAGAGCCAGGGTCTAGTGGAATTCCAGAGCAGCAGTTGCCGTCATGAAGCTGCAGATCCTCTGAGAGTACCGAGGGCCGGTGGGATAGCTTGCTGGTGGCTGTGCTAGTGTCAAAGCTGGGGCTCCGGCGCCGTGCCAGGGGTTGAAGCTCATAATGCTCAGAGCAGGATCCAGGTATCCCTCCTATTGGTCGTGTCTTTTCCTCATCAGGGTCCCCACTTCCAGCGTCCCATGGCAGGTGGGCACAGGGCCAGAGGATCTGTCCACAGTTCTTCTCTGGCCCAAAGAAGCAGCACAGAGATTGGAAGAAGAAGCTGGCAAAGCCACAGCTGACGAACTTGACCATCATGATGATGATGCCCAGCTTACGATAGAGCAGCACTGTGGCAGGTAGCATGAGCACGCCAGATGCAAACAGGGCTGCAGTTCCCACTGCTGTGGCACGGCTGGTCTGGCGCAGCGAGAAGGCCACGCGGCTCAAGCGGTCAGGGTGTGGGCACAGGTGATAGGAGATGCAATAGTTGATAGTGAAGTCTACTGAGAGACCCACAGAGGCAGAGAGAAAGAGGGACTCAGCAGTGTTGAGCTGCCACTCAAGTAGAACCAGAAGTCCTACCGTGAGTAGAACAGTGCCTGCCACAGCTGCCACGGAGAACAGGCTAAGTGGAACATTCCAGGTGCCCAGCAACAGTGTGGCAAAGGCCAGTGCCAGAGCCAGGCCCAGCACCACAGCAGGCTCAGTGCTCAGACTGTGCTGCAGGCTGTACAGCTCTAGGCGGCTGGTGAACCAACCACGGCGCAGGCCAGAAGGTGCCCTGCCCAGCTCTGCTGCCAGCCAGCGGCTGATCTCAGTGTAGAAGTGGTGGACCTGGTTGTAGTCTGGACTGTACGGGAAGTTGCTCTGGAACTGCAGGACCAGGGCAGCCAGGTTGCCATGGGCGTCAAAACGGAGTCCCAGGTCACGGGTGCCATCGGGGCTTTGCTCCTGAGCCATCATCTTGAGGCAGTGCAAGAAAAGCTGAGGGGCCCAGGGAAAGTCTGACTGGCCACAGCAGACATTAGGCCCTAGGCGGGCACAAGCCGGGCTCTCTACCCAGTGCTGGAGGGCCTCCATGAAACACAGCGTGGGCCAGCCCTCTGGCTGGATACCAAAGAAGCTCTGGTTGCGGACTCGGTGACAGAGTGCCAGAAGCCAGCGCTGGGCTTCTGGGCTGCTGGCTGAGAAGTCAGGGTCGGTCACTAATGAGCTGTTGCTGCGAGGGTCCAAGGGGTCGCTAGTGTCCACCGGCAGGATTCCCCACACCAAAACCACAGGCAATTGTCCGCCCTCTTCCGGAGGCAGGTGTTCAAACAGAAACTGCTGCTGATACTCTGCGTCAAAGCGCTCGAAGGGGTGACTAGGCCTGAACACCTGACCTCCAGCTGGCAGCAGAATGGGGAGCTGCAGGCGGGGACTTACGCCGCCAATGTAGGCGCCCCCTGCAGCCAGCGCCGCGAACCAGCAGATCCAGATGTAGCGGAACTTGATGACGCCACAGGGCAGCAGACGCTGAAAGAGCAGGCGCGAGAGGATGGCAATGGCCCTCCGAAAGCCACGGAACCGCCGGTGCAACGCTAGCAACAGCCGCCAGGGGTCACTACCGCCCCTCGGGCCTTGCGCCCGAGGCACACAGCCGCGCGCCAGGTAGCGCTCATGGAGTACCGCAGAGGCAGGCAGCCAGACCAGTGTGAGCGCCATGTGCACTAGCACAGCGGTGCCCATGAAGAGGGCGAAGCAGCGCACCGCCGGCAAGCGGCTCAGGTAGCTGCCATAGAAAGCCGCGCTGGTGGTGAGGCCCGAGACCAGCAGCAGGTAGCCGAAGTGGTGCATCGTGCGGCCCACTCGCTGCGCCAGACCCCCAGAGGGCACCTGGCTTTTGCTGAGGCGCCATAGGTCGAAGAAGATGAGTGTGTGGTTGACGCAGACACCGCTAAGCAGGATGAGGGCTGCCAGATTGACAAAAGGGAAGTAGGCCATGCGGAAGGCCACATGATATAGAAAGAAGGCCACCAGTAGGGAGCCCAGCACCCCCAGCATAACCATGAGCGTGATGAAGAGTGAGCGCAGGTAGAGGGCAATGCTGAAGAAGATGGCAACCAGGGCCAGCAAGGGGTACACCGTATCCAGGGCCAGATAGTGCTTCAGCAGCTCCTGCTTGATGCCCAGGTCCATGCCAGTAATGGAGGTATAGTTGTCAGAGACATCCATGGGGTTGACTAGGCCATCTAGGTAAATGTCCATCATGGAGGCACCCTTTAGGATGGGCAGGAAGAGCAGGCTATACTTGAGGGAGGGAACCTGGTAGTCAGCAGTCTGGGGACTCAGAAAATCCCTATCTAGCAGAAAGTGAAGGAGCTGGTAAATGGCACTGCTCTGGGAGCACTTGGTGGGAATCTGGGCACAGTGTGGGGATTTGTCATGCTCAGGTCCCAGACAAGAGGGCTCCAGGATACCACGATGGTAATAGGGGGCACAGGCCCGTAGCAGGGCCAGTATGCGTGCTGCATCAGCTTGGGTAGTGTCCAGGCAGGAGGAGCGGTTGGAGAGCATAGCAAGATAGTTGCCCAGTGACCAGCTGGGACAGCACTGGTTGGTTGCTGTACGCTGACATAGAGCCCCAAAGCTGGGATGGGAGCGGATCTGTAGGGCACACAGCAGACGAGAGCTCAGGGGCAGTCCAGGGACCCAGGTTTCTCCAGCCCTGTCCTAGTCCTCTCACCTTTCAGTTTACTGGGCAGACAAAGAAATAGCTTGACAGCCCAACAGAATTTGCTTGTCTCAAGAATTGCTTTTAGCTACTGGCATCTTGGCTTTATCAAAGGGGAGCCTCAGGGATGCTGCCTGAGGCCTCAGCTTGAGAGGCCTTTCCCTAAGGGCCCCAATAAGTCACACACTCCAACTCTGCACTGCCTGGGCCAAGAGTAGGAATGGAGGTAGCATCCACATTATGGAATAGGACCAAGGGGCCAGGAAGCTGGAAGCAAGCAATTGAAAAAGTAGGGGCCTGAACATTCCAGCATCAGGGGTACTGCCAAACCCTAGCCCCTACCTCTCTCCCTGGGCTGCTTAAATCCTCTTAGGGTCAGAGCTGTTTCTTTTTTTATGCCTCCTTACCTCTTCCACCCTGTAATTAACATCACAGCAGTTGGTACAGTACAGCCAGTTCCAGCCTGGGAGTCAGAGATCCTACTCTGCCACTGTCATGGTGATGACATGTTTGCGGAGCAATTTCTATTGCCAGTCATTATGCTATAGTTTCCCAGATTCTATTTTGTTTAATTGTCCCAATATCCTTATGAAGGAAGTACTGTTATTATCCATATTTAACATATATGAGGGCTGAGAGTGTAGCTCCATAATAGAATATGTGCTTAGCAGGTATGAGGCCCTGGGGTTGAGCCCTAGCACCACAAAAAGAAAACAACAACATATATGGAGACTGAGGCACTGAGAGGTTAAGTCATGCAGCAAGGAAGCCTTGGAGCTCATCTTAAACTCAGGAAACTATCTTAAACTCAGGAAACTAACTCCAGAACATATGTTCTTAACCATTGTCTTTTGGTACTCTAGATATCCTGATGTGAGGCAGGGGACATAGGCTCCTGAGTGGTTTTCACACTGTTTTTAGAAGCAAACCCTCCTACAGATGTTATCATATATGATCCCCAGTTAGCATAATTGGATTGGCACTGCTTGAGTTGATGAGGGCTGAAGGCCAGGGTCTCCTCTACAGTGCTTAAGGTGCTTTTTCAGGAAATTTTGAAAATCCCCAGGCTTTGCTCAGGTTTTCTTGTGGCAACTGTAGTTTGGCTTTTCTAAAAGCAGTCAGTTCTTCCTTACCCACCTCAAACTGGAGCCTCTCTGCAGGGTTAGAATAATTTTCTAAACAGGGAATGCTCTTCCCTACTCAACTACGGCAGTCCTGGCTTAGCTCATCCTTGGGATCAGGCCCCTCATGTCCTTAGTTCCCCCAAATACCCCTGGCACCTCCCCAGCCAGCTTACCTGCTCCTGTTCCATGCGACACATAGAATGGATGGCATGCAGGTTCCATAGACTGCCCACTGTGGTGGACATGAACACCAGCTTTGCGTTGCTCTTCTCTGTAACACACCCACTTGAAGCTCAGCCCTTGGGGCCCAGGTTTTGGGCCCACCACCAAAGGGAAGATGCTCACCCAGGGCCACTGAAGGATAAGATTCCCAGGAGCCTGAAACCCATGCCTGGCTATTTGATCCTGCCCCTGTACCCTACCCGCCACCCAGCTTGACCCCACTGGCTTAGAATATCTGGGATCTGCTTCCTTCTCCCAGCTGACTTGAATGTGGCCAGCTGGCTGCCTTCACTTTCTGTCTGCCCACATTTGTTCTGGGTCTGCCCATTCTACTATGTAGGGCAGGGACCACCATGGATGCCAGGGCTGGCCCGCCTATTGCTTACCAGGGGGGCCACAGAAGAAGTTCTCCTGCCCTCTGTCCTCAGGGGGCTCCACCATTCTCCGGGCCCGGACCACACTCTCCTGAGCCTTATCCCAGTGTACAGGATTCAAAGTGCTGTGGGAGTTCAAGCTGAAGTAGAGAGAATTTCTGTACTAGGTACCATTGGGAGTGGAAGCTCACGGAGGCCAGAGATCACTCCCCAGGGAGCCCCAGCAAGCACCTCTGACCTGCCTTTTGGAGGTCACTCAATGTTCCCTCCCTAGAGACCAAGTTCTTCCTCCCTTTCCCACCCTCAGTGGGAAAATGGGGATCTGTTACCTGTTCAGATCAAGGTCTGGGGAAAGGGAAAGTAGGTTCCTGGGGCCTGTGAGGGCCTGCAGTGCTTTCCACACCTCCAGCTTTCGCCCAACGTCTGTATCCCGAGGCTCAAAGCCCTGCAGGGAGGAGGGCAGAGAACAGTGGGTAGGCAGAGGAGGAGCTCTCTATCTGGGATGTCCCCAGCTCTGCCCCTTTGGTTTTCTGGAGCAGGGAGGGCCGGCCAGCCTGCCTGTGCGGATTGTAGATGTATGACCTCTATACTATTTGTAGCTCTCTCTGGAGGTCAAGAGCTCACCATTCCTTCCCTACCCCAACTGGGTCAACTCAGCCCCAGACTGAGCTTCAGTGGCCAGGCCTGGGGCCCCCTCCCTCCTTTTGACCTCTCACCAGTAAAGGGTTCGAGAAGTCAGGCAGCTGGCTTCCCAGTAGTCCAGCCAGGGTGCAGAGGAGGATGACAGCTAAACACACCAGCAGCACGACCACTGGCCACTCAGCAATCAGCTGGGAATAGCTGGGAAAGAGGGAAGGAACCACATGAGTTGGTGTTAGGTGTGGTAATAAGAGGCTGGTGAGCTTAGAATCCACTGAAAAGGGGTGGTAGAACAGAAAGCACATGGAGCAGGGTTAAACTGGACACCAGCCTGGTCACCCCTAGGAATCTGGGGGAGGCCCAGGCCTACCTCTTTGGCATCCGGAAGGTCCGTTCCTGCCTGTGGGAAAAGAAGAAAAGACACTTGTTTACCTGAGTCTTTATGTGGAGTATGTGTGGAGAGAGGTGGGGGGGGGGGAGGGTGTGGAAGAATAGAGGATGGGGTGTAAAGGAAGATGGCATTTTAGAGCTTTCCCACCCCCAAGCTCTAACTTTTTCCTTCTACTCCATCAGAGGCAGTGGACATCCAGACCCCCAGCAATCTGTTCCATTTTTGAGCCCTGTCCTACCTTTCAGTGGCAGCTGACAGGCTGCTGGACCCCTCCTTACCTGACGCTGACCACATGCTGTTGCACAGAAGGTGGCTTCCAGACCCCATCACGCTGTGAGGAGATTGGAGAAGTATTGATGTTGGAGCTATGGGAGCATAAAGCTGCCTGGTCTCCAGGCCCTAATAGAGAACTGCCTTCTTGATATTCTTGCGGTTGCCGCGAATAGGTAAAATGACCAGGGGCTAAGGCACCCGTCGGGTCTAGAGCCTGAAGAGTGGAAGTTGGTGGTGGGGGTCCAGAAGAGCTGGAAGGGTCCTCAAGGGGACAGCTGTGGAGGGAGCAGCTCCTCTCTGGGCTAGCCTCAGGCGCCATGGCCTTGGTTTGGGACCTGGGGAGACAGCAGGCAGGAAAGATAGGGGTAGAGGATGGTAGTGGGTCATTTCATACTCAGTAAGAATTATTCAGTTAAGGGAAGATAAGGAGACAGAGCTCAGGGTTGTTTTATTTACTAATCCTGGGGAAAAGTGAGAAGGGTGGAGGCTCAAAGTCTGTATCCCCAGGCTTCTTCTTGGGGTCTGTTCTCTCATTCACTCACCATCCATGAATTCTAAAGACACTGTTGGCAACCTTCCAGACACTGTGCTCAACACTGAATGTGCTGTTACATATATGATATGTATTTTTTGACATGAGGTCCTGCTGTGTAGCTAAGGTTGGCCTCAAACACTACATCCTTCTGTCTCATTCTCCTAAGTAGCTGGGATCACAAGTGCACATGACTGTGCCCAATTTATATACATGATCTTATTTTCTCTTTACAAAAATCCCATAAGGGAAGCATTTTCTTTTATAGATTTGAAAGCAGATTCCATGAGAGTTGAAGATCTGGAACTTGAAGCCACTTCTTCTGACTTGTAGCCCTGTATTCTTCCTATGGTACTTGTCTGCTCATTCACTTGATAGACATCTGTTGAGTACCTAGCACTCTTGTTCCCATCTTAGAGCCTTTGAACCTTCTATTCCTTCTGTTATATTGCCCCTCCCACCAATTGCCTGGGCTGTGTGTGTGTGTGTGTTTGTGTGTGTGTGTGTGTATGTGTGACCTCATCCTTTTTTAAAAAATTCTGATCTCTGTTCAACTGTTACCTCCTCAGAAAGTCTTTCTTGACTACTTACCAGCTCTCTGTTCTATTACCCTGCTTGATATTTCTTCATAGCATTCACTGCAATTGGCTATTATAGAGTTGTATTTCTTGCCTGTCTCTCATATGTAATGGGAGGGCTAGGAAAAATAGGAACCTGGTGCATTGGCTCATCTCCATATCCCTAGTGCCTTAAACAGTGTCTTGCACACAGAAGGTGCCTGGCTGCTAAGAGTGGTGCTAGGATGAATAAATCCCAGCCCTTACTCTAGGCATTCACAGTAGTGAGATGCCAATAGTCGGACATGTTGGTTTGTGTGAGAAGGGAAAACTCTGTCATGGGCCATGCAGAAAGCAGAAGGTTTGCTCTGCAAGGGTGTGCACAGTTGGAAAAGGAAATTGGAAGCCCCTAAGGAATGAGGCAGGGAATCTGTAATAGATTCTTCTTCCAAAATTACTTATCAGGCAATGTTCTGTGCATGGATTTACCCCTATTCCTTGGTTCAGGGGAGATCGAGTCCCTCCCCAGTGGCAGTACTACTAGACCTAGGACAGGGAAAGATGGCCAAAGAACAAACTACTTGAAGGCCATGATAGTTCCCAGGGGGTTCAGGGTTTGGCACTTTGACAGAGCCTATCCTGCCTGGCTTCTCAGCCTGCCAGAGCTTGTATGGTTCCCATGGGAGAGCCAGATCTATGCTGAGCCAATCTTGGCTTCAAGTCCTACCTGCTGCACTTTGAAGAGGCAATGAACCAGAGTCCTGGCCACAGTGGCAGGTGGACATTGCCCATGGAGGCCAAGTGGAGGAATTGGAAAAAATAAGCAAGCACTGCTTCTTCTTCCAGGATGACTGGCTGCTGGGCAGTCTGGGAGATAGTGACCCTTATGCTAAGGGTAAAATGGGAGAGTAGTGGAGGCAGGCTCCTGGGTCTATTTCCCACTGCTTTCCTGAGCTCTGTGGCTTCAGGAAATGCTATCAGTCCTGGAGCACTGGCATCCTTGACTGTTGAGGATATGATAAGAACATCCACCTTTCAATTTTGATGTGTAATATAATACATGTGAGGTGCCTGGCATAGAGTTTAGAATGTTAGAAAATGCATTTACTTTCTTGCCCTTTCCCACACTCAGTATTGCAGGGAGCACGTGCTTTAAGAACTATGTTTATATTTAATTTGTCCTCTTTTGTCATCACATATAATACATTTCCACTTCAGAACTTCTCACACCTTGAGAATTTCATATGCAATTATAAACACTTTCTTCTTTGTTATCCAAAAGCTGCATTGAAATTTGATCTCATGATTTAAATCATTAGTACTTATTTTTTAGTAGCTCAGCATTTAGAAAAATAAGATTCTTTTTTTGTACCTGGTATTGAACCTAGGGGCATTTAACCACTGAGCCACATCCCCCAGTCCTTTTTTTTAATATATTTTATTTAGAGATAGGGTCTCACTAAATTGCTTAGGACCTCACTAAGTTGCTGAGGCTGGCTTTGAACCCACAATCCTTCTGTCTCAGCCTCCCAAGCCACTGGGATTACAGGCAAGGGCCACCATGCTAGGCAAGAATAAGAATTTGACTAAAGTTGTTTTAAAGCAAGAACTTGGATGACTCCATGAAATTAATGATGTAAACAACCAGTGTTTACATCAGCAATCTTTTATCAGTGCAGATAAAAGACCCTATAGGCCAATTCCTGTGGGACAAAGAGAAGCTGGATAAATGGCCTCCGTTATAAGTGGGGATATTTATTAATTAAAGATTTTTAATTCTATGGCCTTTTGTTTTGAGCACTTGTCGTGCTCAGCTCTGTGCTTGGATCCTGAAGGCATGAAGATGATCCATTAGCCTTGATTTCCCTCTCCAGAGCAGGGCCTGCTTTCAAGAGGTAAGGAGAGTGGGACAGCAGTATAGATGTGAGGGACTTGTTTCAGCTACACACCCTGTAGAGCACTAAGCACTGGGCTTCTTCTAGGAGCCAGTTCCCCACTTAGAGTGTCAGTATTTTTACATTAGAAGATGCCAGCATACTAGAGGTGCTGGAGGAGAATGGAATCCCCCTTCCTGTCAAACCTCCTAAACTTATGCCCTTTCTTAATTGGTTCCTGTTCAGGGGGGAATCTAGGCTCCTTCCTCAGTTTGCTTCCACTGGGGTCTTTCTGGCCCCAGCTCCCTCCCTTCAACACCTTCTATTCTTTTCCAGGGACCTAGGATCAGCTGCTCCCAATCATATCCTTCTCAATTGTGTCCACCATTGTCATTGTGCCAGAATTTGAAATCCTCCACATTCTAAGTGCTGTAGAGCTGCACCATTGTCTCAGGACTCCCCATGAAAAGAGTCAAACTCCACTCAAAATGAAGTCTTTCTTCTGCCAGTGCCTGCTGTCCACTGCTCTCAGGAGATACAGTGATCTTATAAGAGTTAAGCACTCTTGTCCTTGCATCCCCAGGGGATTTTCATTCTCACCTTCTCAGTTCTGAGACCCTGACTGGGATGTGTAACCTCCTGGCAGGGGGCCTGCCTAAGCTCCCTAAATGACTGAGACAAGCAGGCAGGGAGGGGAATAGAAAATATTGATATTCACTCCACTTAGGAGGTCCAACATCACAGCAATCAGGGCCTTGCTGACAGGGCCCTAGATACAAAGCCCCAATTTGGGCGCCCTATAAGGAACATAGGTATGTGTGCATTAACCTCATTCTCAAGCCCTCAGAACACAGCCACCTGGACATCCATGTGATCCCACAGAGTGGCCAGGACAGATGAGGGAGCAGCTCACACCACTAGGAAATGAAAAGGTAATTTTATTATTATTATTATTATTAGGTACTGGGGATTGAACCCAGGGGTGCTTAACCTCTGAGCAACATTTCCAGCCCTTTTTATTTTTTTATTTTGAGATAAGGTCTCATTAAGTTGCTTATTATTAATTTTTGTGGTACTGGGGATTGAACCCAGGAATGCTTTACCATTGAGCTACATCTCTGACCCTTTTTATTTTATTTTGAGACAAGATCTCTCTAAATGGCCAGGACTGGCCTCAAACTTGTGATTCTCCTGTCTCAGTCTCCCAAATTGCTGGGATTATAGTCACGTGCCACCACACCTAGCTAAACATGCAATTTTAAAAACACAAAAAATTATTTCAAAATTTTCTATAGTCAATGGGTTAAAAACTGTGAGGTGTGGCTGGGAGAGTGGCTCAGTGGTAGAGTGCTTGTGTTGCATGTACAAGGCCCTGGGTTCTATCCCTAGCATTGCAAAAAAACAAAACAAAACAAAACAAAAAAACAAAAACAAAAAAACCAAAAAACCAAAACTGTGGGTGAAGTAGCACACACCTGTAATTTAATTTATTGGGGAGGCTAAAGAAGGAGGATCCCTTGAGCCCAGTAGTTCCATGACAGCCTGTGCAAAAAAGCAAGATCCCATCTTAAAAAAAAAATCAGGAGAGGGGCTAGAGATGTAGTATTTGGTATGTGGGAAGCTTAAAAAAAAATTTGTGCTGTCTCTGTGTGTTTGTGTGTGTGTGTGTGTACGCATGCGTATCTATGTGTGTGTGCTGTGTGTGTGTCTGAGTCATCATGTGTCCATCTCCGGGTTCTACTTAGCTCAGCAGGAACATATTTATATTTCTTCTTCTTCCTTTTTTTTTTTTTTTTTGCAGTACTGGGGATTGAACCCAGGGTGCTTTATCCCTGAGATCTATCCCTAGCCCTTTATTTTATATTTTTCATTTTGAGAAAGGGTCTCTCAGGCCATTGCGATCCTTCTGCCTCAGTCTTCTGAGTTGCTGGGATTACAGCTCTGCACCACTGCACCATCATATTTGTATTTATTGAGTTGAATTGAACTGAGTCTCTCTGCCTGCATAGTATCTGTGGTCTCAGGGAAATGCAGAGGGGGGTCAGAGGTCTCCAGGAATTGCTGGAAGAGAGCAAGTGATTTTTATGGGGGGGGGGGGGAGATGAGTGCACCAGACAGGGCTGACTGGCCCTTGGTAAAATATACCAGACAGCAAATGTCTCTCCTGCTCCTTCTGGCTCTAGGCCCCTATTCTGTCCTGTCACTGCTTTTTCTTATCTTTTGGTTAGGCCAGAGCTACAGGCAGGTCCCTGATCCTGGAAACACATCCAACCTGTGTCTCACCCTTTTGAGGAAGGTTCTGTGCCTTCTGGACTGATATATTAAGAGGGAAAAATGTTTGTTTCCACTTGTGGGGCTTTCTCTTCCCTCTGAGATACAGAATGTGAATTTTAACTGGTGCAGTCTGGAGACAATGTGTCTGTCTGCTTTTTGCTCCCAAAGAATATTTTTTTTTTTTATTTCAGGCAGGAGAGAGAGGCAGTGCCACGTCAGTGGAGAGTTTCTGGGGGCAGCAGAGCCAGACAGGGCACAGAAATTGCGCCATCTTGCTACCTGTCTGGGCTGTTCCATCACACATATGTCGGAGGAAGGCAGAGGAGAGGCATCCAGATCTGGGGACAGATTCTCAGCAAGAAAGGGTCCTTCCTGTCCCACTAGTCTGGGGCTGCTTCAGTGGTCATTCAGACCACCACCTGAGTCTGCGTCTGAGAGCCTTAGCGGCTCCAGTGAACGCCAGTGGCTGCTACAGGCAAGGACTCAAACAGATATGTGCACAGCTGGGGACCATGCAGGGCAGGCAAGCAACTGACATTGACAAACAGGCAAGCAAATGACGGTGACAGACAGACAGTCACTGACGTAGCTGCCGAATGTCTGCTCTCCCCAGGAAACTAGCCTTGGCGAGCCTGTTGTCCACGGTACATGCGCACCCCCATGCACACTGACACGCAGCTGGAGCCCAGGCTGACGTTGCTGCGGACTTGAGGCCTTCTGCGAAGAAGACGCAGAGGCAAAGCCTAAAGGGAGGGGCTCGGGAGGCCAGGGCAAAGGGGGAAACCATGGCTTTAGGGGAAAGGTAAGAACAGTGGGTGGGGCAGGTCCCCCAGACAGTGAAGGTGATGGGAGATGGCACTGGGGGATGTCAAAGAGCGAGTAAATTTACCTGGCAGGATGAGGGCATATCGAACCTTCCCCCCTCCCCAGAAGGGGCAAAAGGAAGGTATGGGCAATGAATGGGGCGACAAATGGCGACTAATGAAGATACCTGGAGCAGAGATGCTGAGAAGATCTTCGAGCCGGATCTACGGAGCTGTTCCTCCCTACCTGTCCGAGGAGCTGCCGTTCGGGGATACGGAATCCCCTTCGGGCCTCTGCTCCTTTTTCGGACACGGGCTGGGAGACCGACTGCTGCAGCTGCTGCGGCTGCTGCCACCGTCCATGCCCGTGGGCGGCGCCGCTGTCCGAGAGCTAGTGCTGAAGCAGCGGCAGCGGCAGGCTGGTGCGCATGCGTCAGCGCCCGCAGACCAGTCGCTGGGCGGGGCCGAGAAAGAGCCCAGCCAATGGGCGCGGGGCTGGTGGGGGGTGCAGGGATGGAGGCTGCCAGCTGCGACGCCGCAATGGGGACCCAAGGGGGGGCGGTTGTCTAGCAGAATGGCCGTGGGGCTAGGGTGTAGGCCCATCTACGCAGGCCAGGTCTACGTGATTTTAGGGGTCCGGCCGTCTGGCCCTTTCTGGGGACCTCGGACTTCTCATAAGGAACTAAGGAGCGCGACCCGTGCAGAGATCCCCACAATTTGAAACGCAGGTTTCCACGCCCGCGTTTCACGGCATTCTGGCGCAGAACGCTGAGTGGTAGAGAGGTCGAGCGACTAGTCCGCATTCCTCTTGGATCCACTCTTCTCCCTCTTTTCCTCCCCAGTGGGGCTAAGGGTCTGCTTAATTTGGGTCTTCCTTCTTGTCGGTTTGGACCTGGACCTGGACCTGGGGCTGTGCCCCTCAGCTATGGAACCTGGACTCGGTTATTGAAGTGCGCAATACGGGGAGGGGGGAGGGAAATGAGAAACGCCCAGAATGCTCAGCTCCCTTTTCTTACAGTCACCACTACTTCCCACCTCAGCCTGGGAGGGACCAGTTAGCCACTCACTCCTGGGCACTTGCCTGTAACCCATAGGGGAATAGCTCTGAGGGATAGACAGAAGAGCACATTTGGAGGTAATGGACCTGAGACAGGCCTGGCTGGAGGGATGTAACAGAACTAGGATATTAGCAATATGAAAAGCCTGGAGGCTGGGGAGTGGAGAGGGTCCTGGGCGTGGGATTTGGATAGACAGAAAGGGTTTCACAGCAAGCAAGCTGTCCAGTGCCTGGCTCTGGTGCTGAACGCATGGGTCTCAGAGAGTCAGAACCCTTGTGGTCAGGCCCATGAGATGATTGATGCCATCTCTTCTTTGCAGCTTGTGATAGAGAAGGGGCGGTGTGCAGAGGAGGGAAGACCTTCTTCCTAATAGGCCTTAGGGAAAACTTCCTGGAGATGGTGGGTTTCTACTGGCTTGGAAGGCTCTGAAAATGTGGAGGTACGAGACAGGGAGGGCATCCCTGACCTGGGATGTCTGACCCAGACAGAGAACTGCAAAATTCATGAGGTTGGAAAACTGTATATTTTCAGGGAATTGTGAGAAATTCACCTGGTTAATAGGGAGCTTTTGAAGGCTTTAGCTGTGTAGAATGAGGTGTGCAAGCTGGAACCTTGGAATGCCCACAGGATTTGGGTGTATGGGACAGGATAGAGGTGATGGGCCACATGCAGGACCCTTTATGGTAGGGAGAAGAGTTGAGAAAGAACACAAAGGAAGTTGACCTTATACAACCACCTGCTATGGGTATCACTGAGCCAAGTTCTAGAGAATACCAGACTGGTTATTCTGTTTTCACAACAGGGAAACCCAGAAACAACTAGACCCTTTGAGTGCCAGTTTGAATGTTGTGTTAGATTTTCATCACAGTGGCCAAAATACCAACAAGAACAACTTGGAGGAGGAAAAGTTTTCTTTGGGCTCATGATTTCAGAGGTGCAGGCTATGGTTGACCATCTCAATGACGTGAGGCAGAACATCATGGCAGAAGAGCGTGGTGGAGTAAAGCTGTTCAGCTCATGGCAGCTGGGAAGCAGAGAGAGGAGCCAGAGAAAAGCCGTATAATCCCCAAGGGCATGTTCCCAGTGACCAGCTTCCTCCAGCCACTCCTTAACTGCTTACAGTTACTACCCAGTAATCCATTCAAATTATTAACCCATCAAATGGATTAGTCCACCGATTAGGTTACAGCTCTCATAATCTAATCATTTCATCTTTGAGAATTCCTGCTTTATCTGTTACATGAGTTGATTGGGAGATGACTCGTATTCAAACCATAACAGATGAGAAGAAAGACAGACTCTTAAAGAATAAAACTTGGCCTCCAGGAGGCTGTTTATTAGGAAGAGAAGATTCTGGTCCATGTCTAGTGCCAGGTCAGGAAGGCAACCTTCTCAGGTTCCTCATCTTGTGTCTTTTTTTCTTGTTTCTTCAGTGGTGTGGACCAGGGGGATGCCCTGGACCATGACCAGGGGGGTGCCCACCAGGTCCTGGGGGGTGGCCTCCCCCA